GGAGGGGGGGGCGGGTCGGTGGGGGGGAGGCACTGGCGCGTGGGTATTAGAAATGCAGAACCTCAGGCCCCACCCCAGACCCACTGAATCAGACTCTCTGGGAATGGGCCTCAGAAATCTGCATATGGATTAACCCTGATGCTCAGTCAGCTTGAGAGGCTCTGCTCATTATTAAGTGTAATTAAGCTCACATCTATATTTCAGCCGAAGACCCAGGGCAAGCTAACATCAGCTAAAAGGAAAACAGAAGGGCAGATTCATAAGTTACTATCCTGTTTACACTTTCACAGTGAACGTTAATCACTCCCTTTGTTTAACTAGGGCTCCCTTCACAGCCCAGGGGACGGTGCCCAGCAGCCACTAAGGAAACCTTTGAGTTTCTACGAATGTCACTCCTTGCATTTCACGGGCCAGCCCCAAAGTGAGTCAGCAGTTTGGGGATTTTTTTGTATGCAGTGGATGACTAATCCTTCCATGAAGGGTATAACCCGTGAATTGTGGGTTTGCTCTTGCTGTTACTTGAGCAGCGGAGCCGTGTTCCTTCAATTTTTTTCAAAAACCTGTTCTCCAGGCACTTATTGAAAGCTCAGTGTGTGCCACCACTCTGCAAGTGAGCATAGCTCCCAGCTATTACACCACAGGGTGGAGAGAGGCACGATTAAAGCCAAGCAGGTTGCCTGGCCCCTCGAACACACTGTCGGATAATGCACTCAGGTGCACACAAGAACAACACCCACATATGTGTGTGGGTAATGCCACACCCTTTCCCATAAAGATGAGTGTCCGGCTCCAGGGAGTCTCCCCAGGAGCTGAGTGACCCCTTCCCTTTGTCTTCTGAGCTGGGATTGGTAGCATTTCTCAATCTCCCTGAAATCTCTCTAGGTGAATATGAAGGGAACCAGTTTCTTGATCTGTACCAGGCATTGTTCAAGACCTTTTACAAATATTAATAAGGTTAACCATTTAGTACTTAGAAAATGCCAGGCTCTACGTGGACTAACGCACCCACAACCGAAGGTACCTTCTGTGGCAAATCTTTTTACTTTCTTTCATTCCCATTTTATGATAGGAAACCAAGGCACAGAGAGGGTAAGTAACGTTCCCCATAGTCACACAGCTGGTAAGTGACAGAGTCAGAGTTTGAATGCAAGCAGCCCAGCTCCAGAACTTCTGGTCTCAACCATAGTTCTTCACATTATCTCTGAAACCCCAGTGCCTTCACTAGATTGCTCTCTGTCTCCATGTTTCAGGTGCAAAAATGGAGGTCAGGAAAAGGAAAGTAACTCACCCAACGTTCCGCAGCTGAAAGGGACTGATTTCTGATTCCATCCCAAGTCCGTCTGATTCATCTTTGTCTTTCCC